CAGAATGATTGAATTAAAGCTGATATATAAAAAAATAGAACCCAGCTGCTAAATGTGTTAAAAAGGAGCAAATTATCTTTTGTTCCGAGACCAAAACTAGTAGCAGCTCAGATAGATTACTAGATGCTGAGCGGAGACAGTAAAATATCGGGAAACACGGGAAAAGGAGCTCTGTTTTGACATACAGCCGAGACGTTTCATTTCCATTAAAATGGAACGCATTGTGTGTCTTGGTTTGCTCGGTGAGTATTAAATGACCCCCCCGAAGGATGTCTGAGTTGAATTAGGAGGTCTGTCGTCTCAATCACCCGAGTGGAGCTCCGAGCTGCCTGCTGGGCCCGTCACTGTAATAAGACCTGAGAGGAAGCAGATCCACCTGTAGGTGTGTGCTGACTGAGCGCGGCTGCTGCAGACAGGACTATAGTCTGCGCTTAGGCAAAAGATGCACCAGCAAATAGGCTGTAGACCTGAAGCAATTGTCCATTGTTCTACTCACTGTTTGTCTCAGCAAATAGCGTTTAATCTAATTGTCTATTTTAGGGATGCGGCAATTTATCGGTGACGATTTTCTTAATTTTGGGAGGTCAGCCATTGGCCGATGCTGACATGTGAAGCCGATTTTACGTCCTGATCTTATCTACTTCAGCAAAGGTCTAAATTTCAACCACTATCCTCTTCTTCTCTCCCATGAGAGAGGTTTGACTGATAAACCGGCCCACCAGGTCTATGTCTGCACATTTGCTGTTAACAATAGTCACCCCACTGTTATCAATTCAGCTACTTTCTTACTGCATTTGGTGATATTCCGGACAAAAAAAATTGATATCGGCTAAAATCGGAGTCGGTGGGTCAGGCTTTGGAAAGATCAGGAATCAGCGATCGGCCAGAAAACTGTAAATGTTTCACCACTAGTTTTTTTTTTTTTTTCTTTTAGTTTGAATAAAAAAAATGGGAACAAAAGTGCCACAGATATATCCAGTGATGCTTAAAGGTCCACTATTATGCAAAAATCACTTTTTGCATATTTCTGTTCTTCTACTTGGATGTCTGCTGCTTCTAGAAACAGTCCAGGAGCAATAAAAACCACCCAGACATCTTTTGGGAATAAGAAAATATTCTGCTGGTGTCTGCAAAACAACATGTTTCAAAAACCTCTAAATTGTTGGGTCACAATTTTGTTACCTAGCAACCCCAAGCCCATCCCCTCACCTGGAAACACAAGTGTATCTCCACTCCACTTCACAAGATTATACTAAGTTTTTTTCTGCTGCCTTTGCCGCTGCATAACAGCTGTTGGAATGGGAACATGTTTTGTTATCAGAGCATGTGTCCATGCATTTTCTCCAAGTAACAGAGAACACAGCTGCATGACTTCATTTTATGTTTGCCCTGTGATATTGCCAAAGAAAGTTGTAGTTTGCGCAAATCAAGTTTAGGAAGGAGTCCTTTGAAAACTACCAACATTTCACGGCAGGATTTGCCAAAATACTTTGACTGCAGGAAGGTTCTGTCCCTAACGTTCGCCAAAAATCTCCAGATGACGGCTACGGCTTGTGTGTTTTGTTTTGTTGTTCGGCATGAACATGATTTATCATTTAGCACAAGCTAGTATGATTAAATGGAAAAAGGTTGTTGTGATGAGGTCCTTAAGTCAGAGTGTCAGAAAGAGCAGAAGCTTCTTAAAGACACAGAGGCTCAGTTTCAAGTGGTGAAATTATGAAGTCAATGTTTTATATATACAGCATTTTTAGAACAACTGAAGGTAACGTAGTGACTTGATTGTGCTATAAATGACACTGTGTGCCTGGGAAATACATAAAACTGGCCATTTAAAATGTTTTCTTCTGTAGTTTCTTTTATGCACCAATCCAGATTCTCAAGCCAAAGCTGATTTCTGGATTTCTTTGAGGCTTGACACCACAATTACAAGCTTTATAGCTTTCCTTTTCTTAAATGCGAAATCAGCACCTTTGTATAACATACAAAAATGATTCCTGTTGGTTTTGTTGTAGACCTTAGCTTCAATGCTGAAGGAATTGCATAATTTGTACCATTCATTCATCAAACCATGTGCAAAAATATCTGATCTGAGTTTTAATTTATTTAAAAAAAAATCAAGGTACAAGTTTTTGGTGAATTTGTATGTAGAGGGAAAATAAATATTTTGTTTTACAGATCAAGAACAATTGACCAATTCCAATAGCAGGGCAATATATCACTGTACATCACTGATTACATTGAAATCCCAACTTCTACTCTGCACATTTGTTGTCTTTTAAGTGTCCTTAAGTTTTGTTTCATTCTCAAAAACTTGTTGATTAGTTTGTAGACTGAAAATAAGAGTTCTACGTTTTGATGCATCCTATAAAGAAAATCTGTTTTTCAGGGTTTCACCTGAAGATTATCAATCTGCATTTATTGGTTTGGCTTTATGACTGATCTTTTGGCACATTTTCTTCTATCTCATGTGTTATAGTCCTTGGGAAAACGAAATTAATATGGTCAAATTCAGAATCTGCTTTCATTCATTTCGTGAATAAAAGCAGGAAATTGGTATAAGCTAGGAAAAGCCAGCCTGATTGGTGCATCTCTAACATAGCCAGATTGACTCATTTAGCAGGAAGGTGACCTCAGCAAAGCAGCATCAGTAAAGCAGTGTGTCTCCTACAGAAGCTTTTAAGTTGTGATGCTGGCATTTACTGGCAGAGCCAGGGGGGTAGAGGGCAGGAAAGAGGATGGCCATATGTTTTCACAGCTGACCAGACCCCCCATTCTGACATGCAAGGTCTAGTGAGACTAGTTAGACCACAGTGTAAAAGACAATACTCACAGATATGCCTGTTCTTGCTTAAACTGCCTTACTTATCACTAAACAGCCTTTCTTTACACAAATGGCTCCCTTTTATTTTCCCCCCTTACTGAGGACCGCCTCAGACTCTCAGACTCTGCACTCAATTATGTTGACTATTAGCTGTTCATTAGAGGTGAGGCTCCAACAGTTATTTGACTTCTTAGCTGATGACTAATTTAATTCCCTGACTATGCAACCTTGGGCTGCATTACTCTCCTGGAACCTGGTCAAAACTAATCCCTGCTACCACTCGCCAAGTTGCACTTTTACAAAGCCCCGTTTTCAGTCTATTTCTGCTGAATGCCTCTTCACTTCTATTTCTATCATAACACAATGCGGAATACAGCTAAGCCACATCTAATCTTTTCATAAATAATACTGTGACTAACCACGGTAAGGAAGTGTCTGGTGGGTATGATACCGGAGTAGCAAGATTTGAAAAAGTTGCTGTTTCAAAACCATGAAAAATTGCCATCATATTGTTCCCACAAGTCCTTACAATAATATGTCAGAGGAAGTGACCCGAGTTTGCTGCCCCTCCCTAACTTGTTGCTCCACACTAGTAATCAGCCGGCTAAAGGACACTGCCGATGTTTTTTTCTCCCTTGTCTACTAATAAGACAAATTTGGCTGTTAGGAAATATTTCCAGTCGTAAAAAACAAAAACAGTCGTTACTTGCAAACTAAAGGAGCAACACCCATCACTCTCATTAAGGTAACACTGTTTCTGAGGAAGGTTATGAGCTGCATGGCTGTGAAGCGACTATTAAGGTAGTCCGACTAATTATCCAGCTGATATTACCTGGGGACATTTGTGTTACTTTATGAAGAGCAGCAAGCTTACATTAAAAGAACAAAATTCAGTAAGTAAATGGTAAGGATGACATTATTACAAAACCAATACATGACATTATTTTTTTAGCACTGGACCACCACTTGCTGTTCTGTTTTCAACCACAAATACACATGATTACAGATTTCATGTAAAATTCTTGTGTGAAATGACGGTATTCACATTGTTTGAATCTTACACCAACCCATGCCAATTATCAGCACACAAAGGTGCTATGAAAAGTAGAATTAATTCTAATCAACAAGCCTACAATTTGATGCATAAATTGAAATAATCTTGTATTTCCTTTTTTTTTTTTATTTGATTGAAAGCTCCAATCTCTATCAAAGAACCTGCATAGTTTCTCATTTGTGTGTTATAGTCCTTGGAGGAAACAAGTTTCAATCTTTCAAAACTGACCTGCACATTAGACAAGAGAGAAAGAAACAAAAAAAGAAAGAAAGAAATTGTCTATCAGTTAGGAAAATACTGAGTGCATTTCAAACTAACCACAGATTAATCCGTCTCCAGCATGTTTCCAAAAAGTTAGGATTCATTAATGCACCTTGAGAAAAAGACAAGTCTTGAAAATCCTAATGGGGTGATAGTAAAGGCAGCCAGACACCAAATAGATAAATGGAGAAAAAGGAGCAAAAAAAAAGAGAAAAAAAAAGAAAAGGGGGTGGGTGGGGGGGGTAGAGGGATCAGTGTCCAGCTCTTTTCTCTAGGGGTCCTGGGAGAGAACAGTGCATTCAGCGGAGGGTGAAAAACAACTTCTGACACCACATACCAAAATCAACCAAAACACACAGCTAATTTCAATTGGATCCAAGCCAGGTCTGCATCACAGCACAGTGTAAAAACGTGGTGGCCACTAAGCAAGGTGGCGACCACATTTGCACTCAAAAGAGATGGCCTCTCATTTTCCAGTAATTAGCGAGTAATGAATGGAAACTGGCTGCACTTGGAGCCATTATTCATCTCCAAGTCTCGAAAACACGGCGATGTGTTAATTAGGCTTGTAAAGCGCCCTGATTCTAACAGACAACAGTTATCTATCTCTCAGTTGCCTGGTGGCGATAACTTCACAAGCAACTCAGTGACACTTTTTTTTTTTTTTGCATTAATTTAAGACTAATATGCCTGATCAACAATAAATAGAGCACAATTAGTGTCCTCCAGTTTCCCCCCCTCAGTAAAGCTCAGGAGAGAACAGGTTTCCTTTATTATGAGAGCCATCAACTCCTACTAACACAGGCAGCCGTGGGCTTTATCTGGGTCTGATCTGGCTTCCAGCGACCACCCCGCTCGTCGTACCTGTGAGTGCTTGAAGAACGCGGAGATGCGAGTGATGTGCAGGCTGAGGCACCTCGAGGCGCATCTCGCTCGGTAAACGCTGGCGGTGAAGAAGGAGTCGTCCTGCTTCCTTGCAGAGACGCTCGTCAGGGCCGTAATCCACAAACAGAGGGTCACACATGCGCTCGGGCTCCCGGTAAACATCGCTGCTGCTGGTGCTGCTGCTGCTGCTGGTGGTGTCTTTTTAATCCCTCCACGAGCTCAGACTACACTGCCGCGCGAGCTCCGCCGGAGAAACTAAAGAAACTTCCAATTATACGCCGGGGAGGAGCTACGGGGCTCGTGTGTCTCGCGATTGGATGATCCCAAGGTGAGTGACGTGCGTGAGGAGCGATGAAGCAGGTAAAGATCGCTTCATAGAGTTCATGGTTGGAAAGGGAGGCATAAATGAGGTCTCTCCATATCTACTCCACTTGAATAAACTTTTATGATAACTGTATCTTTTTTATTGTTTTTCCTCTCAAGCACAGTGAAGCATGATTTACTCTTAAAGAGTAGTTTTTAGGTACACCTGCCCAATAACAAGTCGAGTCACATATTAGTCCAGCCAATCACATAGCAGCAATTTAAAGCGTTTTGGCAAACAAGTCCGAAGCGAACATCAAAATAAGAAAGGGACTTTACGCTGTTGTTGTTGGAGGAGGAAGCCATTGCCCCGGTTGGACAATATGACTTGAGCTGGTTTCAGGTTCAACTTTAATAATATGGCCAGAACAGCATGAAAACATGGATCAATCCCTTTAAACTTAGTAGCATAATCTGAGTATTTGAAGCAGTAGTAGACAACTTTTTATCACTATTTGTCACAATCACAATTACTTGTTGCAGAAAGCCAAATAATATGACACACAGCAGAAATATCAGACAGCAACAAACAACATAAAAAGCATCCTTCCTACCCACACTACTACATTGACCACTGGGTTTGACCATGCCAGCTGTCCAAATTGGACCTGATTTTGGCATGCAAGAAAAGGAGGGACAGAAAAAATGTCTTGATAGCACAAGTTTCCCTCACGCTCCCTTTTTTTTTCCTGGCTACGTCCATCTCTTTATGAGCACACCGAACCTATTTTACGTGGCTACTTCCAGCAGGATAATGCACCGTGTCAAACCTCGTGACGGTGAGTTCACCATACTAATCTAGCTTTCACTACATTTTAATCCACCTTTGGAATATGATGAACTGGGAGATTCACACCATGGATCGAGAGCATCTTTGTGGTGCTGTCATGTTTTTTTTTTTTTTTTCAGTTACATTTTGGAGAGCTGTGACACACTATGTGCATAACGTTTAGCCAACCTGAATATTTAACAACATAAAAGAGAGCACAATTATTTGGCAACTGTTTGTGAGTAATTACAATGGAGTTATATGTTAGAAACCCAACTTTCCAATCATTATATATTGGTTAAATCAACAATAAAAACAAACATCTCAAAGTCAAACATTCATGAGATTTCAAAATGACCGATTAGTGATCCATATAACCATGATCGATATAGTCTGTCAGCCTAGTCATCAAATGACGTTGATTTTCTATTTCTTGTGAGTCTCCCATTTCAGAAGAAATTGTCTTCTGGAGACTGGCATTCAATTTGGGAGTTATTTTCAAGCCCATCTTCAACCCTAAAAGGTCATACTTGTTCATTTTTGGCAAATACCACACCACACTGGTAACCTGGTGTCTGATTTAAATTGGAACATGTGCAAAATATTAACAATTCCTGATGTTTAAAAATATTTAGATTTGCTAAATCAAGCCCAATCTAAGTCTTGAAGACAGATATTATGTCACTTATAACACTGAAGAAGTAGTAAAGTCTTTTTTTTTTTTTTTACATTTAAACAAAACATAAACTACTGTGCTGGTTATTGAGCTTCATCTCTGGGTCTCTGCAGGAGAGTGACAGAAGTGACTGAGATCACACATTTTTAAAATGCTATGTAAAAATAAA